GATGGGAATCTCTCTGTTAGAAAAAACGCACTGCACAATTTATGCATAAATAAAAGTCAATTATTTATTTTGGAGTTATTTTTATGAACTGAATATCAAAAATGTTTTTTTATACTGTTGTTAATAATAATTAAACGTTTATTTTCGTATCGTTTTTTTAACAATTCTACCGCGATTTTATAATTGTTGTTATTTGTTTTTAATGATTCTAACGTTCTTTTCGGTTCATCTTCCAGGCATGCTTTGAGATAATGAAGTTTTTCCATATCAGTTAAACCGTCATTTGCGTGAATTAAACTTTGAAATGTGTCGAAAAAGGATGCCCATTCCTCATAATTACCGTTGAATTTAGGCAACTCAATGGTAGGAGGTATAGCCCCTAGAAATACATAGTACCGTCATCCATTGTTGTACGAGTGGAGCAAATGCAGTTGGTAACGCAAAAAATCGCCCTAGTTTGGAACTAAATTGTGTCAGCAGAGAGTTGACAGCGAGTAAACCGTTGTTGTCACGTGGTCTTGGCGTGGTATTTTTGTTTAAATTCAAATAATTGTCAATTAATATAACTAATAGTTATTAAATAAGATTTTATTGATTAAATTTTATATTTTATTCAAATTAAAAATCCATATTTTGTATATAAACTACAAATTTTAAATCCAACATAAAACCATTTTAAATTTCGCGGTCTGTCAAATGGTGTTAATAATTTTTGTTTTTGTTAAGTTTCCGCCAGGTTTGCGCCACAGTGACGATACTATGTATTTCTAGGGGCTATAGTAGGGGGCTTAACGAATTGCGCATTATTTGAACTACCATTGGAGGAATTGGGAGGATTAGTCGAATTGTTTAAGCTTTTGTCTATTGCATCATCGTATTTCGCACGGGTTTCGACGATCTATACCTGAATGTCTCGAAAACGATACTGGCTTTCTTCCGAAACATCGTCGCTCGCTAGCCCGATTGATTCAGAGTCAAGTCTGTTAACGAAATTTTTGAATTCAACATTTAGTTCCTCCAACATTTGCAGGCGACGCTTTAAAATGCTTAATTTTGAATGGTTCGCGACCTTGTCTATAAAGTTCTCAAGCTTCTCTAGATCACCGAGAAGCCTTAAAAAAGTTACCTCTTTATCAGGCATATTGACAACGATTGAGGAAATGTAGGTACGCGTATCAGAAAGAATAAAGACTAACCTTATTTGTCCACGTTGTTGCCTCGACGTTTCCCGTACTTCTAAATGTTGTAGGACGGCTAATGATGGATGATGATTGCACTCACCACACTTGCAGTGGTTAATGATTAAATGCGCCGACCATATGTTGATTGTTGTAGCTCAGGATGTGTTTTGATTGTGTTTTTGAGTAACGGACTGTATTTTGCGTTTTGTGTTTATTGGGTGAATGTTTACACATTACTGTCACTTGTGTTACTGACCGTTTTAGGGCGGTTGGTGATAAGAATGCTACCTGAGGTTGAAGGGGAAACAACCCCGATTCTTAGTACTCAACAGGCGTTATTTTAGTTGCTTAAAGTTATAACGCAATTTTGCATAATTTTTAACAACAGGAACCTGTGTTAAAATTGTTTTTTTTTACGAAAAAAAAGTTTTTTTTGTTATCAGCCTAATCTTTACCTATTATATTACACCTGTTTTAAATTTCATAAAAATCGCTTCAAAAATACCTGAGTTATTGCGCCTGAAAGTGTTACGTGGGACACCCGGTATATACTTAAACAATGATAGAAGTGAAGATCGGAAAATACAAGGGCGGCCTATTTAGATTCTGTCGTAGTAAAACATACGAGACCATCGAGAATGATCGCATATATTATAAAGTGTCTACAGTTTCATTCAAAAAATATTGGGCAGTTGTCATTACTAATGTCATAACTTGTAAAATGTGCTTTATTTAGATAACTTTAATTTACTGAAAGTAGTGTCATATCTCTCGGATATTAATAATATCAAAGGCACCGTTTGACAAAATAGATTTTTGAAAAGTGTCAAAATGACAGTAAAGCTTAAATCACGTATGATTTGTCACAAATGATAGAATGACAGTGCCCCATAGTTTTTGAATAAAACTGTACAAGTTCCTAGTGTTATATAACAAAGACAGTTTTGTTAGGAGATTTCCGAGTGCCCAATTTTTTTTTCTTTTTGAGAATATGCTTTCGTTTATGTTGTTTTTATTATGTAGTTTTTATTTGTTACGAACTTTTAGAATACAATAGATATTTATTTTAAGAGAACTTTAAGTGATACTTTATGTGTCGAGTATGGACGATTAAACGCCGAGCGATAGCGAGGCGAATTAAGTCCATACGAGTCACATGAAGTCACTTAAACTCCGAATGAAATACAATATTTTATTTTCAAACCATTAATCATCTTTTGAAATGATTATTTCCTATCTTCTTGCTTCATTAAGGAATTGCCTTGATTTCACTGAAGTACCTTGGTTACTATGATTGACAACCACTATGATTTTCACATATTTATACTCCCGCGGAGTATAAATGTTTTATTTATACGCCGGCGGGGTATAAGTAGTACTTATACGCCGCTCAAACACGGTGTCATAGAAATTACACTTAAACCCCGGTAAGAGCGTCATATAAGTGTTATATGACGTTTGAAAATAAAAATATATTATTAATAATTATCTATAATTACAGAATCATTACTTTCCGATAGAAGTGTGGGTATAACTATGTTCTAAGATCAATCCTTATTTCTTTATATATTTATTTGAATTTTGTAAAGGTAAAAGTAAAAGCAATAAAGCAAATACGCCGTATGGTAGAGTTGATTGCAAACAGTGTTCATGGTGTGTAGTTCCCGATTGTCATGTTGTGTGGTGGTAATGGTAGTGAGGTTATGTAAAAAGAATTGTGTTGGATTTGAACTTGATTGAGACGTTTGCAGAAAAAATAGCATGTTTTATTCGGAGCTCGCCCGTCAAACCTACAGATTCGCCACGAAAAGTCTCCTAATTAAACAATATACTATTTACTTTCTGAGCGTAAGCAGAGGAAGTATTGTAAACGAGTCCGTCGGCCCACTTTCTACTTTTACTTTTTCTCGACCTTTCATGACATCCAGAGTAGGAAGAAATAGGTCTCCCGTTTCCGTCTGTCTGTCTGTCCATCTGTCCGGATTTTTATTAGATAGATAATCTCCGAAAATACTGGGCTGATTGTTGTCAAATTTTGTATTTACGTGTATATTAGGAATATCATGTAGATGGTAAAACGCTAACCAAAATTTGTCTAATCATTCCCACCAATAATGTGATGACGTCACTTCAAAACTGCACATAGTAAATGGGTTTTAAATTATATGAAATAACATAGTCCTACACATGTAGTTTATAATTCCGCATTTAGTTTTTACACGAAACGTCCAGATTTTTGGAAATTAATTGTGAATCTGCAAAACCGAACGCTTTGAAATCTTGTAAATGTTTTAAAATTATCATAAGCATGGTCAATTTTTGATCAAAATGTATTTGCTCATCGCTTCCTAAAAAATTGATGATATCAACTCAAAATTTTGCTGAATAAATCCTATCTTAAATGTGCAAAATATGATGAGTCAATACTTGTGAATTATAACGGTATTAATATTTTTTATATTTGCCTACACAGGGTGACTCAAAAAAATTAATGAATCAGTCAATTTATTTTATTGGATAAATCAATACTTTCAAATTTTGCAGATATGTTAAAGTTATTGTAGGTTTGGTAAATTATTATTAATCAAAACTTATCCGTTTATTCCCCCCAAAAAAGTAATGATGTCACTTCAAAATTGTTTTTCCTTGCACTGGTAATACGCTGTTACTACTTTTCTTTTGTGCTGTGACTAGTATTATCCATGTTGATGACGTCGTCACAAATTTTTTATTAGTCAAGTAAAGAACGAGTCACCTCATTTTCTCGAAAATGTGAAGAATACGCACATCTATTATATAATAATGATAAAATAAGAATTACAATATTCAGAACATTTTTTAGATTTGCACACGGTGACAGAAAAAAATTAATGAATCAGTCGATTTATTTTGTTCTTGTACTATGTTGCTATTATTACCTAAAGTATATCTCTAGATATATTTTTTGGACAAAAAACCGAGTATGCTTTTTTAATTAAGTGGTCCTCTCTTCTGTGTTGAAGAGACAAAATCAATCAAATGTCAGTTTCTGTTAAACATATGTATGCATTTAATGCCACCGTTACGTACTTCAATGCTGGCCCCGATACGATATGATGTGCTAATGGTCGAATTTTTTCGAAGCATAAACATAAACAAAAAAAGTTAAACAAGTACTAGGAATTAAGAATACATTGTTTCCCACTGATTATCTGCTTTAAATATATTTCATATTGTGCGCATTTGTTCAGACCTTGCCCCCTTGGAATTTACAACCTCGAGGCGTAGGGATTGAGAGTGTGTTATTTACCCTTCTGGAGCGAGAGAACTCTGTCGAAATAACCTTCTAACAATTTTTTTATTTTAATTTGTTGTTAGATTCATTTTGGAGTACGATAAACTAATGAACGTTTTTCGAGGGGTAACTTGGCTTAACATTTCTCCCATAAATTACCACTCTCGCTTCGCTTCGCTCGCTCGAGTAGTAAACATATGCTGGAATGTTAAGCCTAGTTTACCTCTCTGAATACGTTAATTACTATTAATGACCCAAAAGGACGGATGTTATTACTTTGAAATATTTGTCAGTCCGTTGTACTGTAACTCCTAAACAGATGAACCGATTTCAATGCGTTTTTTCTTGTTTGAAAGCTGGTTTAATCGGAACCGCTCTTAACTCATAATACAGTTAGTGCAGAAATCTGTTATGTTTACCCGAAAATGGGAACCGCGCGTCATCCTTCACAGCGATTAGTTGTTTTTTTGTGACGAAAGTGTTTTAAGTGTTAACACTTATTTCATTATTTATTAATGTTATTATTATGCACATTTTGTTTACAGGTGGGACATACAAGTGTACATCTTTTAACGCGGGCGGCGAAGCGAGTGCTGAACTTCGGTTGATAGTCTCAACTGCCTTACACGTAGAAGTATCTCCTCCACTTTTAAGCGTTCATATGGGAGGAACGGCAGAATTTAAATGTTTAGTATCAGCCCCAAATGAAGGCCCACATCTGGTTACGTGGTATAAAGATGGCAGACAACTTCCTAATACTGGCAGAAGTTCTAGTGAAGCATTGGTTATTAGTAATGTTGGCAGAGAAGATAAAGGAATGTATCAGTGTATTATTAGAAGAGCCGAAGGTGATACAGCCCAAGCGTCAGCTGAATTACAGCTTGGAGGTAGGATGGTATCTTTGTTTACATGCTTGCTTTGTAATGTACAACATTTTTTAAAACAAAAGCAGTTTACAGTGGTTCATGTTAACTGTTACCGACGATATTAGGTAATGTAAGTAATATAATTTGTGGTGGCCCTGCCGGCTCTTTTCTATAATTTAATTCAGTATTTAGTGTCCAAATTTTAATGTCCGAGTTTTTATTGCCGGTGGCCGTCACAAAATGGTTCCCCCTAGGTCCTGGTCTGTGAAGGCCGATTCGGGATGTGAGAGGGTAACTTAAACGCGAGGCGGTTCGCTCCATAGGTAATCTATTAATAAACAAATACTACAGTTTAAACGAAACGAAACAAGATTAGAGTCCACACATCTTATTCGTAACTAATAAGATTAAAAAAAAAAGATTGTGCATGATCAGAGAAAACAATAAATGGCAGTAAACATTAACATTTTAAACTAAGTTAAAAGAAGCGGACAAGGTTGTGAAATGTCCCATTTTTGGAATATTAAAAGTATAAAATAAAGCGGAGGAGAGGGTTGTTGGCGCTTTTCTAATATAAGTCATGGCTCAAGATTGGGGGGAAGGGGGAGGAACCCCGCAGAAAGTGATATTAATACAACCACTCATATTGGATAGGGCTCCCGGTGTTGGGAACGTATACCTTAGGGGGGGAGGAATGCCGGGTCACTGAATTGAACGCGTGGACGAGATAAATACGTGGACGATGCCCTATAGGGCAGACTCTCCGGACACGGCATGGGGGTCCCGAATACACCCGAAAAAATCTGATTTGATAAGGGGAGTCAATCATTCGATGAACGAGATTCATAACGACGATGCATTAAAATCATTCCGAGTTGCCAATAACGTCCGATAACCGATAACCCGTCCTCCGTAAGGACAGAACAGGGCATGCCGTAACTCGGTCAGTGGGATTTACATATCATCGAGTTAGCTGCTCGGTGGAAGGTCGGAAGGGGAAGTTCGGCGGGGCGCCACTGTAACCAGCTGAAGAAGGTCGGCTTGGAGATGCACTTGGCACTATTTTGTGCGGGTATCGCGATTACATTAGGAAGTATTCGAACCGACGGAAAGACTGAACTGGATTAGATCGAATTTTAGTTCCAATTATGTCATTTTTACAGGAGTTGTGGAGCGGGAGAACAAAGAGGAAGATGCAACAAAAAAAAAACATTTTTCGCAATTTGTCGCGTTTACTATAATTAATTGTCATCCGACCAGCTAGAATGGTGGCGAATTCGTTAGATTCTGAAGGATAGACGTATTCCTTATATGCTGATGGAATGCATTTATTCGTGATATTGGGGGAGAGAAATTGTTACTGATGTGATTTGATTGGCCGCGGAGATGTTCTCCATATTACGGCACAGACTGCGTTTTAGCGATTATTCCTGGAAGGAAGTAAGACTATGCGGGGTCCTGGGAAGTGATTGTTTGCCTTGATGATTATGTCAACTGGCACTAACCCAGCAGTTCGGATTTTTGGTTCCCACGATAAGAAAAGATGGGCTTGTAATGAAAGGTCACACCACGCCCCAAAATAGGGCTGAATTGCCGCTTCACCACATATTGAATGTTGGAAGGTGCTTTTAATTTATTGTTAAAATATTGTTAAAACTGAAAGTCATGTAAATTCAGACAAATTTTACAATATTCAACTTTAGAAATTTAGTGATACTGATCAGAAAGTATTATGGGATTCACAACATTCTGGAGCATAATGGACTATGAGTGAACTTTTGTTTTACACCTGACTTACGATTTACTTAACAAACAAAATATTCTGAAAATGAAGTGATAGTTTTGTAATAATTATTATAGTACACCCATCTTTCGTAACAGTGGGGAAAAACACATAGGTCGCCACACTTACATCTCACTAACATATGGTTGCTAAGCTTAAGCAAATAAGCGAAACCCAATGAATGCTAGACAACTCGGTGGCATGTGCTGTACTGATGAGATCAAACAAGGTCGAAACTGCAGTCTACAGCTTTCTAACGGGTTTTCTAGCGTTCGCTGTGAAAAGCAATAATTAGTAGATATGTCGTTGGCTAATTTAGTCTCTGTTCTTTGCAATTTAGTTGGTGTCATTTCTTTAACCCCATGGGTTGCTGCAAATCATTATCACAGCAAGTTATTTATTTGCATCTTATGTCCGTTTGCACCAACATTAGCGGTAACCATTGCTCATCTAAGCAATTTTTAAAAGTAACTACTTCTTAAATTGTACAGTTGTTGCATTGATTAGACCCTACTTAACCACGTAGTACTTAGAGTTGGGGAATTGTATAAAAGTTTCATTTCTGTTGGCAACACTGATGTTTGTATCTATTGGAATATCACATATTTTAGGTTAGTTTGCACGTGTGTAGTTGCGATAGTGTTCATGTTATAACTTTCCCTGGTGTTTGCCGTGTGTTTAATAAAAAATGGACTTATAAGGTCAAATAGAGGAAGTCAATATTGTTCAAAACCGAGGGACGGGAAGTGAATTTAGAAGAAGTTTTATAACATTTTTTTGGAAATTTATAAGTTTAACAAATACATGCTGTAGTACTATTTACTTTGATATTTTATTACATTTCTATGTTATTACGTTTATGTTTATTTGGCTACTTCTTTTTTTTCCAATGTGTAACTCTAAAATTTGCTTTCGTAGCAAAAATTTTATATTTTTTCTTTCTTCCTCTTGTTCTCTGCCAGTTTTGCCTCAACTAATTATAATTTCTTGCTCCTCTCTGGCGCTTTTTATTATTTATCTGAAAAAAAAACCATGTTATTCTTTACAACAAAATGTGGTAACTGTGGTACATACTCTCTTTATATTAATTTTGATACTACTAGGACTTTATTTTACATTTCAGATTTGACTGATAGACTGATAGAATCGTCGCAAAATTGGAAATTTTCGATTTCGTATAATCACCAAAATTATTATCTAATAGAAACGAAGTGTTGTGCTGTTACCATGGTTTGCAAATTTAAGTTTCAGGTAAACGGACACTTAAATTAAGGATTTCATAGAAACCTTTAAGAAAGAGTTAAATGTTCGTGCAACACATTTGAACACATTGATAGTTTTAAGAAATGCTTAAATTTTAAGTACTGTGATAACCCAACTTCCCGCCTTAAATTGACGATTGAAAAAAGTTTAAAAGGCCGGCGAAAAATTCAAAAATTCAAAATTTGGCCTTGGCTGTGATCGTCTGACAAAAAAGAAACCTACGTTGTGTGTTTTTTTTTAATGGCGTTCTTTCATACACGTGAGCATACACTACGTGCGAGTAGAGAGCGCAAGAAATAAGAGACATAATTTTTGGGAGGAGGCTAAATATCGCACCCCTCTCTAGGGGGAAAAGAAACTGCGAGCGAGGACGACTCGTGACTTGTCATCAGACTGCCCAAGGGGGGCCGAATCGCATTCACTTCTCAGCTCCAAAAACCCCCTATTCACCCACATATAATACGTACATCGCAGATGTAACACATAAAAATATGAAAGAAAGGGACAACCGCGAGTTGACAGACATACACATATGGGAAACCGAACAAGTGCAAAAACCCTACGTATATTTTTTTGAATCAATGCAAAAATCTGAATATCACAAACTTAATAGAAACAAAGAAAAATCTCAATTTAAAATAACTGGATGCAAATACACGTTATTATAGGCGTGTGGCGGCAAATTTAAATTTATGGCAGTCAACAAGAGCAGAACAAAAATACCCATAAGGGCGTTAAGTGGAGTTTAGGGCTACCGGTCGTGGCTGTTCTCCCCCGCGACGGTGATTCTATCTATCGCAAGCCTACCGCAAAGCGTCTTTCTATTACGGACGTGCGTACGTGCAGGCCGTTACAGTCGCAGATCCGCAGTTGGGTCTCGACTATTGGACTAAGTGGATAGCGTTACAACATCGCGACCGCTCCTGAATTCTATTCTAACCTGCATCTTTTGTACAGGTGACACGATAAACCTCGCCAGCCCGACTAGGAACCGCGCACTTCGCTTCTGCCACGTATTTATAACTCTGATATTAACGACAACTGAACAAGTGTCAATGTTTCAAAAAGAGCAATAAGCAACATTTGAATTCGCCATACAATCTTGTGAAATTTTAAACAACAAATAATTCTTATCTGAGATTAAAATTGGACATCAGATAATTTATACGATGGAAACATTCATCAATAAAATATTCATAGAAAAGAAAACCTAGCAAAGATTTATGAAAACAAAAGTTCTGGTGTGAAATAAACTTGTGTAAATAAAAATATTATGTGAGATTAAAACTGCAGAGCATGAAATTTACGTTTAATTAAAATTATACAACAAAGAAAATTACTGAAGTTAAAATTGTGAGATAGAGATATTTTGTGAGGTGAAAATTGCAAAGCTAACAAATTTACATGAGACTAATATTTGCCACACTTTATCAACGATTCAAACAAAGAATTTACGTTATGCTAAATTATGTCGTGTCCAAGTGATGGGTTACTTAAAACAATTAACTTTGAGAGTTTATCGTGAACTGGTTACCCCCGACAAAACACATAAGAAATGAGCACAAAAATATCCAGTCATCGTTGCGAGGAAAATCGTCTCGGTGATGTAATTTTTAGTATTGTGAGGAAATGCTTCGGTTATGTAATTTTTAACGTTGCGAGGAAATGCCTCGCTGATCTAAATTTGAACGTTGCGAGGAAACAAATGCCTGGGTGATCTAAATTTTAACGTTGCGAAGACATACCTCGATGATGTGATCAATCTTTAATGTTGCGAGAACATACCTCGGTGATGTGATCATTCTTTAACGTTGCGAGGACATACCTCATTGATGTAATATACGATAACGATGCAAATAACGATAATAACCGCCTAAGGGAAGAAATTACCTTAACACCCCCGCCAATTCACGACATAATGAAGTTTGTTAATTTAAATGAATTATAATAAAGTGTAATAATGTAACACTTACGT